GGAACCAGCATTAACACCGATAATAATGTCAGCATTGAAATCCAACGTAGAATCACTCTTGCCAACAAGTGCTACTTTGGACTGAGTAGGCAATTCAGGAGTAAAGTCCTCTCTCGACGTACGAAAACCACGCTCTATAAGTCACTCATCATGCCCGTGCTGGCATATGGCGCAGAAGCATGGACAATGACAACATCCGATGAGGCGGCTCTTGGGGTGTTTGAGAGAAAGATTTTGCGGAAGATTTACGGTCCTTTACGCGTTGGCGACGGCGAGTACCGCAGACGATGGAACGATGAGCTGTATGAGCTTTACAACGATATGGACATAGTGCAGCGAATTAAAATACAGCGGCTCCGCTGGCTTGGTCATGTCGTTCGAATGGACACCGACGCTCCAGCTCTGAAAGTATTCAACTCGGAACCCGCTGGTGATAGCAGAGGAAGAGGGAGGCCCCCACTGCGATGGAAAGATCAGGTGGAGAAGGACTTGGCTTCACTTGGCGTTTCCAATTGGCGTCAGTTGGCACAGAGGAGAAACGACTGGCGTGCTTTGCTGAACTCGGCCAAAATCGCTTAGGCGGTTACAGCGCCAAAAAAGAAGAAGAAGAAGAACGTAACTTATGGCTCTCTCTTAAAAATTCTGTTAAATGGGTCTTGCTTATAATTGAACAGCCGAAACTTAACGTAACTTAATGCCACATCGAAATCTGTTTCATTTTGATTCTTTAAGTTCTACGCTCCGTTAAATTAAGTTAAGTTGCCATAATCAGGCTTTTAGTCGATCCAAGGTTCAAGAAAAATACTTTGACGGATGAAGAAGCCTTTCAGGGGTGAGATTCTGTAACCAGTTAGCGACAAGTTTCGGATCGATATCGCTCTTGTTGACGTAAAAATATTTCATATCATTCGTCAACAAAACCGATACCGATTCGAAAATTGTCGCTAACTGGTTACAGAATCTGCCCCAGGCCTACAAAAATGATATCGTCCGATTCAGCTGGAACAAAAATGCTTAAAACAAGTAAGAGTTTCTCTGTATTATGGCCTCGAACCGACATATATGTATATACATCTTTCATTTGAATCAGTAT